TAAATTTTTCAAAAACTAAATTTGGAAATCCAAGGTCCTGGGGGCTAAGGTTAAAAGAATGAAAACCCAATAAAATGGCCCCAAGTTTTTTTTTTCCCCTTTTTTTTTTTCTTTCTTTTTTCTCCCCCTTTTTTCCCCTTTTCTCTTTCCGGGGGTTCCCCCCAAAAGAAAACCAATTTCTTTAAAAAGGGTTAAAAAAATGAAAATTCTTTTTCGAACTTTAAACAAATTTTTATAAAAAAGGCTTTTTTAAACCCCAAAAAATGAATTAATCTAGTTTATATCCCAAAAAAAAGAAAAAAATTTTTTCGTCGAAAATGGGGATCTCCCAGAAAATTTGCTTTAAAACCATCCGTTTGGTTTTTTATTGCCAAAAAATTTTTAAAAATTTGGAAGGAAAGGAAAATTGGTTTGATGTATTCTAGGAAAAAAAAAAACCCCAAAGCTTTTAATTTCCTGAAAAAGCTTCAAAAATAAATTTGCCCCTTTTTGTAGTTAAAAAAGGGCGAAAAAATGATTTAAAGTAAAATTTTGCGAAGCCCCGGGGAAAATTTTTTAGGAAAATTTTTTATTTGGGAAGGGGGAAAGGTTTAAAAAGTTGCCCCTTAATAATTTCAAAAAAACCAAAAATTATTCAATTTTCATTAAAAATCACAGCTGAGAAATAAATTTGTCCAAATTTTGCGATTTTGGGAATTTTTTTTAAGGGGGGCAAAAAATATTTAAAGGAAATTAATTTCAAGATTTCCAAATTTTTTTACGAAGAAATTGCTTTCTGATTGGCCCATGGGAAAGCTTAGATTGGCCCATCAACCTCGAATTATCAAAAAACCACAAGGAAGATACTCCTCAATACATGTACAAAACCCTATTCTAGAAATTAATAGTAGGTACACAGATGTAAGATTTTTTATACGGACGGGTCAGTTAAGGACGGAAAATCAGGATGTTCAATAGTATATGGGAATAATTGTTACGTTATAGACTTGGAGATTTTAATACAATTTTTAGTTGCGAAGCAATAGCAATCCTTAAAGCCTTGGAACTAATAAGTAGTGATATTAATACAGATAAATATATAATATATACTGACTCTAAATCATGCTTAACAGCGTTACAAAGTACAAATAACACAAATACTCTAGTTATAGAAATTAAACAAAAAATTATAAACCTACTTTAAAAATAACTACAAATTTGAAATTATTTGGATTCCAAGTCATCAAGGGATAGTGGTAATGAAAAAGCAGATCATTAAGCGAGGCAAGCAATAAATGAAATCGAAAATTGGCATACAAATAAATCAACTCCAGACGAACTACAAAAATACCTCAAACATAAAATATAATCTACTTGGGATGAGTATTGGAAAACAGAAAATACATCAAAGTTATATAGTATAAGGAAGTCTATTTTTAATAAATCCCCCAATAATTTTACTTGTAGAAAAGATCAAGTGATCATCACCCGTCTACGTATCGGACACTCAAATATGACACATATTCATCTAATTACTAAAACCGAAAGAAATAAATGCAAGTGTGGACTAGATTTAACTGTTAAGCATTTATTAGAGGATTGCACAGCTTATTGTAGCGAGAAAAAGTTATGTAACATGCCAAATAATTTACAAGACTGTTTAAATCAAAAAGGATGTATGCAAACTTTAAGTTTTCTGAAAATGATCAATGTCTATAACCTAGTGTAAACTACAGTGTGATTATATATGTATACCTATTGTCAATTGTGGTCGCTAATGACCTGAGATGTTAAAAAGCGACCTTAAATAAATAAATAAAAAAAAAAAAAAAAAAAAATGTATTTTATGGTTTAACAGAAAACAATATCTTGGGAAAAAACCATTAAACTCTCGACAATGTTACCGTTACCGATGCCTCTGTATATAAGTATATAAGTTTTCACTTCTCTCGGCACTCTCGGCGTGCCACTGTTTTTTTTTAACTTTTACTAATGTGTAAAGAAGAGAAAAATCTGAAAGTCATATCTTTTAATTAAATCATAAAAAACGGGGTCTTAATGCAAAGAACGGAGGTATTTTTTTCGGAAAAAAACTGCAAGTCTCGATTCGTTAACTATTTATATGCACTTACAAATTCGTACGGAACCCTAGGTGAGCGAGTCCGACTGGCAGATGTCTAGATTTTTTTGAAGTGGAGTTAAGACATTTGTTGTACGTTGTAAGTTGTAAGATTTGAGTCAGTTTATAAATTTAATGTCTATCTTTATCAATATTTACTTGAACATTGTCATTGTAAACATTATGAAAGAGAGAATTCACCTTTATTTTAGATGTTAGAAAAACCAAAGCAATGAGCGTATAAACTAGTATATTATAAACTTTTCGCTGTCCTAAAATCTGTGTTATGTTCTTGAAAACCAAACTTTTATAAAAGGAGAAACCTTACGACAACGCTTATAAGCCTCACTTGTTTTTTGTACATAAATACATCTTGGTAGCAGTTTTTACCTAACTTCTTATTGCTATATCCAAATTATATTTTACAAATATATAGATGTATATTTATGTGTTTACGTCTGGCCAGCGTGATATAGTAGACCAAAACCTCTTTTCTAAAGAGAGGCCTATGTCCAGCAGTAGACTATTAAAGGCTGTTGATGTATGACATAACGATAGAGTTGAGTTTCGATTCATTTGACGTACCTATTAGTCTAGTCTAGAGGACCTAGAGGTAGTGGGTTCGATTCCCACCCAGTACCAATAGTTGTGTGATGAGTGAGATCATTTGTTCTGTGTCTGGGTGTAATTTATCTATACTATGTTTGTATCTAGTATTATATAAGTATATTTATTAGCAGTCTGGTTCCCATAATACAAGCTCTGTTTAGTTTGGAATCAGACGGCCGTGTGTGAGATGTGTGTGTGTGGGATTCATAAAAACACTACAATACATTGAAAACGGAAAAAGAAACTAAAAACTGTCAGATGTCAATGATATGTATTTTCTATCTAAACAATACTCGTCAATATATTTTTAATTATGATAAACCTAAATAAGTCTGAACAAACCATCTTTGCCTTCGCCCTAATATAAAAAAAATAATATAGTAAAAGAACTAGTCACATATATTATCAGAGTACATTTCAACTTTTGTCATTAATATCCAGTTATTAACGTGTTATTCATAAATACTTCCCATAGAAAAGTAGTTAATTACCTTTTATGAAAAATCACTTAACGACTGTCTCATTAAATACTTGTTTCTTAAGTAAACTGCTAAAAGATTTCTAGAATAAAATAAAAATGTTGATTTCAAATGACCCAATACGTCACACATTTCCATAGTTATAGGAATTAAGTACCTTAGTGGGTAAACCCGAAATAAATAAATGAGAATGCACTAGGCCCTACGTCATAGTGTACCGTAGACCAGTTTTTGTCATCACTGTCGCGCTTATAGAAATACTGATTTGATATCTCTTTCTTTTTAAGTCGCAAACATTTTGTTAAGTTATATATAAAATGAGTGCGATCTTTGCGTTCATTAGTTTATTTATGTTTGTAATGTGAACATATACATACATAAGCTATTGTTATTTAAAGAGTGTTTGTTAATTCTTTGTTATTGTGCTGTTCTTCAATTAAGCTGTAAGTAAAAATCTGTATTCTAATTAAAAGTTTTAATATATTTGGAAATAAATACGGCTGGTATTGCAAACAATGAACAAAGAAATGAAAGATATGGAATTTATGTATTATGCCTACTTAATAACTAAGGAATTTTCACATAACACACATTAAAAGTCGAGTAGAAATTCACTATCAGAAGGAAATGTTCTACTACCTCCTAAAAAGGTACAAAGTGCATTTAATACTTACATCTTTACGAATAGTCAACATCTTAATTCATGACAGAGTTAAAAAATTTTTTTATCCAATTGAACTTAATATGTTTTATGTAGATATGCCTATTACTTGATATTGTAATCTCGGGCCGAATGTTGGGTCAGCTATCAGTTCTGTGATTCTATTGTAAACGAAAAATATTTGTGATAACTATGTCTACGTGTAAAACGATGTAATATGTAATAAAACATTAAAAGCAAATATAATTGCTGAATTGTGAGATATAAATACCTTTAAATATGGTTCACCAGAGATCGGTTAAAGTTTAATTTTAAAGCCAGAAAGTTCTGCTTCGATGTGAAAATAAATTTGATTGTACAAAACCTGCGAGGGTTGCCAGACCAAGCTATTGAACCGATCTACAAAAGATTGTATTAGACAGATTTCTTTATCGAATTAACTCCCTGTACTTGTTTGTTACTAAACCAATCCCATCATTATTCAGATTTAACTCGTACAAGAGGTTAATCAGTTATTTACTCTAAATTAACATTTATGGGATAGTATTAGATTAGTAATTCCTTTATTTACAAACAACCGTACACAGTAGTTAAGCAACGAATATACGCATTCGTGAATAATACATCTAATATATGTATTCGCGAATACTGGTAATATACAATCGCACCCGCGAATGAGATAAATTCATAGTCCAAAATTGCTTGAGGAAATAATAGCTTTAAATCTACCTATAAGCTGACTGCATGGATGGCGTAGTGGATTAAGCGGTCACCTCGCCGCTCTCAGTCAATCTCCACATGGGACATCACTTTGTGTGATCCACAAATTATTGTTCTGAGTCTGGGTGTTCTTTGTATCCGTTTCATGTATGTTTGTAAAGTCTATATTCCTATATTATAGGCTATATTCCTAGTGCGGGAGTTGTCTTTTATAAAAGAAAGAAGAAGAATATATATATATAGTATCGTTTAGTTATGAAAATATCCCATAGCTTGACTATCATATGTAACACAACTCCTATGATTCCTTTCCAACTCTAGATATCAAAGTCTATTAGAAACAAATTATACACATGCAAAATAAAAGAATAACTTATTCTCTCAATTTCAGGTTTGCAATATGAAGGTCATAATCGTATTATCAGTAGTCGTCATGGGCTGCATGGCTCAACGCTCACCTTATGCCGGGAAGCGACCCATCGGATACCCTGTTATAGAAATCAGTACTGCAAATTCGTTAGGAGACAGGTAATTGCGGGTTATATTATATAAGGATCGCAACGGTAGCTAATGCTTTCAACTGCCAAATTTAAGGCATAATCTCCCGTTTTGGGTTTTATTCCCGATCTGAGTGTTTCTATGTACGATAGTTCCAAGTAGTTTTATATATATTCCCATCCTATATAAAGTACAGATAATTAATAACAAAATGACTTCATATTTTAAAAATATCCTATGACCTCAATCAAAAAAACGAAATGATAAAAGTCAAAGCTTGGAGACTAAGTTATCGTTGGGTTCTTTAAATTATTCTCATTAATTAATGTTTTGTTCATTAAAAAAGTATTAGCAAGTTACCAATAATTTGAGAAAACATCTCGAAAAACACAGTAGGTTGTAGATACCTACTGTTTCGAGATGTTTTTTATAAAATGCTACAAATTATTTAAACGAGTTATTGATAACCTGTTACAAGATTTACAACGATTCATGAGTCTTAATGCTGATAAACAGGAAAGTACAAAAATGGGCGTTCGAACTTGATTTTCCTTCTACGTGGAGTTACTATAAATGTAATAAAAGACACGAGAATCATAAATATAAATTATAATTCACTCACGTGATTATTTCTTATTGGATGATTCTAACTTTGAAAATGACGAACTTCCATACAACCGTTCGTCACTTATTTTACCCCCTTAGAGATATAATTTCTTAAATTCCTTTCTTAGTGAGAGTTCACTACTTCAAAAACATCAGCAGACAAAGTTTTTTTACCGAGCGCTTTAGATTATGACAGTTAGTTAGGGCAAATATGGTGTAATAGGTAGAAGGCGAAACACAGCAGACAGTGGAGTGAGTCTGTATGTCTGTCGCGTCGCAAGGAGTACTCCCTAAACCCCATCTATCACGCGATAGACCCGGCACCCGCACGGTGAATCCATTGAACGCTAAGAAATATACTACTAAATTACCACTAAAATTACAAAGCTGAAGAGTTTATTTGTTTGGTTGAACGCGCTAATCTCAAGCACTACTGGTCTGATTTGAAAAATTCTTTCAGTGTTAGACAAATTTATTAGCTATAAACTTCATTACAGAAATTTCTTACATAAGTGCAAACTTATCTACGTAAACCCAAAGTAGATGTCATGAAACCGTATTTACAAAAAAAAAACTATAACTGTTACAGGTTTGGTGATGATGCCGTCTCCACAACAACTGTAAAGCTACCTGTCGAAGCTCTAGGTGACGCAGAATTGGTAAGAAGAATGAGTAAGCTGCCAATAGACCAGCAACCATTTTGGCTAATCAACTGGAGAGCTCTGGAGGCACAAAGGCAAAACCCTCAGTCTTTTCCACTAAAGCCTAACACTTTTATTGACGGAATGATGTTCCAAAGATAAAAAACTGTAATTAATGTTTAAATAGTGCACTGAAAATGTTTATATATTTTTACTGATGTCAAATAATGGATGAATACTACGTAACAGTTCCATTAAAAAGAAAAATTTGTCAATTCTTAATTTATGATATGTGACCTTAATATTCAGTACATACTTACATTTAATTTATTTGACTTTGAAGTACACCTTTTAAAAACTAAATACAGAATAATATTAAATAAGATTACACCAATAAAAAAAGTTTTTAGCTTGGTTTATTTACACTGAGTAAAATTAAATAATTTATTTCATTTCATTCAGAAAAACTTTTTAATTATTTTATTGCATTTTAAAAGTCCTTGCAGTGACAGAGAACTACATATTACGTGTTTGTTCATCCCAAACATTGTCTAAATATGTCTAAATATCATTGTATAAATAAAAACTTTAATAATAAACATAGATTAAAAATAACCAAAGTATTTGGTATTTGAAATGTATACTCATTTTAACTGTAAGAAAATACTTCATTGTTATTTTGTTAAATTTATCTAGTAATAATTTTAATTAAAGAATTTTTACAACTACGTTCAACAAAAACTTTTAAAATATATACCTAAATGTAACTTTTAAAGTATTCATTACAAACTTCTTTTTTAGTTTTTTTATCAATTTTAATAATAATATAATATATCTCACACACGGCCGTCTGATCCCAAACCAGGCAGAGCCTGTGCTATGGTAACCAGACTGCTGATAAACATACTTATATATTGTTAAATACATACATATTATAGATAAATTACACTCAGACACAGAACAAATGCCCGTGCTTATCACACAATATTTGTCCTGGGAATCGAACCCACGACTTCCGGCTGAGCAGTCAGGGTCACTAACCACTAGACCAACAGGCCCGTCAATGTCTTCTACTTCCAAAAGTGTATAGTTAAATCTCCTAGTGATACAAACCCTTTACAATTAATTAATTTTACAATCAAAGTTGAAAACCAGTACGTTTCCGCTAAGCTTGTTTCTTTAGCTTCTTTATTTATAATGATGTTACTGGATTTCGACTCGAGTTACCAAGTCAGGAAGAACAAGGAATGCCAATAAAAAACTACACGAACCGGTTGACCAACAGTAATAAGACGTCAACAATACAATTTACATTCCTTCATCTTATAGGTACTAAGTTATATATTCTCACACCGATTAATTTTAAACAGTTCACATGCACTAACGTTCTTGCTCTCGCGGCGGCGAATATATATGTATAACATACATGTATAAATGGCATTAGATGGCATTTTCATAGAATTCCAATGAAAACCACGCGTATGAACAATGTTTTTTCTACTTCGTGTTTTCTACTGTGACGTACAATTGTGTTGAGGAACTTAAACACATTCTCACATAAATTGTTCGATAAAAAGCACTGAAATATTTTGACCGTTTACCGCTTGTGGCTTCCTGTTCTATTTCGTTTCAAAACTATCCGTCCACCGTTGCTTGTTTTTCCTGTAGGCCCTGCATATTTATGAAGCTTGTCTTCTATTCGTCTTTTCAGATACTACATTTATGAGGACATTTTTCATTGGCAATTTGACTTTGACATTAGCATACAAATACGTGTCAGTTGTTTTAGGAATTATTATTCCACCCTTGAGGGTTAAAGGAATTAAAAACACACTATACATATTTACAATTCATCACAATGTAAGCGGACTGAAGTCCGTTATATTTATAAGTTAATTTATACATTCACGTAAATTAATAAAAATACAAGTTCGTTTTACATTTAAAAATAAAACTGCAATTGGTTGTCATGAAATTTTAGCCTAGCTCGGAGTTTATTTGTAACAAAAAAAAAATTGTACATTTAACATGTGAAACGAGCAAACATATACATATGTATACAGGCTCTGTCGTAAGTAATGGATAACCCGTTGATTTGAAGTAGCACTGGTACTAGGCTATAAGAAAATCACATTTTCTTGTCAGGGTTGCCAACGCTGTGAAAATGGTGATCACTTTTGTATTTTTTGTAAGTTTTGCTACTTTGCTCATTCATTCTGATGCCATTTCAACAAATTAAGGAGTCTAGTTTTTTTATTGTATAAAAAAATCTGCAAAGAATGCTTGAAGTGTAAATTTTAATAATGCTTCCTATTGATAACGCCCACAATAGTAATTGTTTAAAATAAAAAAAGTCTTCAGGAGTACGATACAAAAAAAAACTGCAAAAGTAAACTAGCAAAACTTACAAAAACTAAAAGTGGTTACCATTTTCACATCGTTGTCAACCCTGACATGAAAATTACCTTAACACTTTAAATTAACAGGTTATCCAATACTTACAACAGATACTGTACATAACCAAAATAATGAATTTAACTACTAAAATGATGTTACTGGATAGGTATGGACACCTTTAAGAATGTAATTTGATCAAATAGGCCTTTCTTCTATGGTAATGACAAAATAATTAAGTCAAAGTCATTACAAACCTCCCTGTTTGGGTGGTTAAAATGCTTTAATAAATCATACCTTTATTCACGTAATGCTCGTTCCAAATTTGTTTCCAGCAATATTTCTCTAAGTTAGGAGTTTAAGTGCCCTAAATTGTTAAATTAAACAAAATTATTTTAAAGTAATTAATTGTTTAATTAATTTTGATATCAGTTGTTACAAACAATAGTGAAAGTTTCGTGGAACATCTAAGCATTCGTGAATGTTTTGTCTTCATAAACTTTGCTGTGTGAAAACCAATGTTTAAAGCAAGAACCGTCCGTTTGTAAACTACGTGAAGTTTTCGAGTAATTGATTGATTTTATATCAGTTTCGAGATCGTCAAGTCCCTTATTCAGTTTATTTATGTAGTAACTAACTGATCTTCATAGTTTCAAAAGCAGACTCTTATTCTACATATTTTTTAAGCCGAATAGATCGCCATCAAAAATAGATGATAAGAGAATTGGCTGACATTGCAGTGGTGAATTTAATAAAAAAATACATTTCCAAAAAAAGTGTTATTTTCAATAAAATGTAGATATTTCATTTTATGGCACTTGGTTGATTTTGTGTAGTAGATTGGTACTATGTTACTTCGGTTTATATTCAAATTAGTACTTTCCCAATATCATTCAGATCTCTTTAATAGTTACTTAATAGTTCAAATCAACTGGGTCTAGACAGGTGACTAACCATACTAGTTCCAGTTAATTTGCACTTATAAGTACACACTATTATTTAGAACTTTAGGTAAATAAACATAATTTTCACTCTACCATTACAAAGGTTTATACCTATAAGCTGTAACCTACTTTACATGGATTTTCCTTATTTTTGGAACGTATAAGGCACCGGCCACTAGACCCGATGATGGAACAGTATCTGGTTATAGACGATGTGAATTCAATATATGGTATGTCCGACTCGATACGTTTCGCCTCGTTGAAGTAATGAACGGGGCCACATGGATCAGGTACTCATCACATCATCAACAGCCTTTAATAGTCCACTGCTGGATATAGGCCTCTCCTTAGAAAGGAGGTTTTGGCTTACTATACCACGCTGGCCAGACGTAAACACATAAATATACATCTATACACTTACTGTCCTTACGACACCCACGGGATGAATAGGGGTATTAACACTTCATTAATCCTTTAAACTAACGTCTAAATCCGTCAACACACGGATCAGGTTCTATTGCCCGTGTACTATTGGGTAGCTCATGTCCACTTTTGACAAGAGAGCAATAAACAAAACACAAGTAAGCGATCAAGTATCTTACTATAGATGGAAAACTGTCAAACATTCAGACAGTGTTGTCTATGGTTATACGAATAAATATTTATTGGTGAAAGACCAATAAATAAGACTGTCAATTTGCACAAAGAAATATTGTGTGACGTCGTCTTGCGAGCGACAAATTTTACAAATTGACTTTAATACTGATATTGGTCCTAAAAGAAATAGGATCCCATAAAAATATATGAGTCTCACTTAAGATAGTTCCGGAGAATGTTATTACAATATATTTTTAGGGTTCCGTACTTAAGGCAAAACGAAACCCTTGTAAGATCACTTTGATGTCCGTCTGTCTGTCCATCTGTTAAGACCCTTTATAACGTATCGAGGTATCGAGTTGAAATTAAAACCATTTACTCAAGTCTAGTCTTATAAAGCTGTGAAAAAATCAAACTTCTAAGTTAACGTAAAAAACGCATATTTCGACCCTCTGAAGGGAATATAAATTCATAGGGTACTTCCCGTTGATCAAGAACTATGCAATTTGGCAAATAACATCGCTTTATACTACAAGTACAGGGCAAAATATGAAAACTATACATTTGTAATTCATTCATATAAAAATAGTCTTTATTTAAAGTACCATGGGCAGCTGGGGTGATGACACTAGGAAATTTATTAAGGCACTAGGTCTAGGACTCCCGCTCCTGTTCGTTCCTGTTGTAAAGGTTGGCCATTGCCATTCAACGCGGCTATGCGGCAAGTGTGCACCGTGTGTGTGTAACCTTTCCACCGGAAACGATCAGAAACGGGTGTTTTTGTTTATGTAAATTTTCTAGTTCTTATGCCTGCGTCTGTAGTATATTTTTTGTAAAGTTAGTTTAAAAGAATGTAATATTAAAATGTTTATCATTTAATAATTCATAAATATAATTTAAGTATTACTTTAAAGTATACCGCCGTAAGCTTGGCCCTCCTGATGGTTTATCAGATTATCCATGTTGCAAAATAATACCGTGTGTAGCAGTCTTAAGAAAAGTAACACGTACAGCCATGCTTTCACGTCAGTCACTGCCGGCGGACAGCGACGCACTAGCTAATTGGTTGAATGCACCCCCGCCCCGCGTCCCCCAAACCATCAGGAGGGCCAAGCTTACAGCGGTTTAACTATAGTCTGTCCACGTCGATTTACAGCTCGAAATCAGGACCTGGACAGATTATTTTGCTGTAATCAATCATCGAGGTATAAAATCACTTATAAAACA